AACAGAAGGAAAAATGCCTAAAACAGAAAACAAATGCAGCCACCACATCTAATGATTGGTAAGCTGCAATATATTACATTTTTGGTTTTGAGTTTAATACTTCTTTAGGCTTTTAAAGCGGAGTTCCACTCACCATGTCAAAAAATGTCAGCAGCTACAAAAATTGTAGCTGCTGACTTTTAAAAAACAGCCACTTACCTGTCCCTCGGTCCCGCGGTGTGTCCCCTGCAGCCCATTTCACCGGCCATCCTGTATTCCAGGAGGCCGGCATCTTCAGTGTGGGCACCCGGCTGTGATAGCGTGCGGCTTCACAGCCGGGTAACCCACTGTGCATGCGTGAGTAGCACTGCATTTCATGAATGGTCCTGTAGACTTCTGGGACCTGTCACATGTCCCAAAAGACTACAGGGAGGGAGGGAGGACACCTTCCACGTCTGGTCACCTAGGCGATGGGAGCGGGTACCTGTCAAATTCAGGTCCCCGCCCCCCAAAGGTACCAATCCTTAATGAGAAACGAGGGAGCAGTCCTTAAAGCGGAACTTCCCCTTTTTGGGTTGAGCTCCGCTTTAAACATAGGGCCAAGGCTACAGTCCTTTTGGACACCTGAAAGACAAACACTAGGACACCCATACACTGTAAGATCAATTTAGTCACTGTGAAAGATCAGTTTTCATAGTTTTTCACTTTGTTGGTGTATTGAAATCTGCTAGTACATTTAACACTCCCCTCCCTGCAAACTGACAGTGCTACTGTTTAAAATGTGCCCCCTGTGCTCCTTCATCTAGAGTGGGGGCACTCTAATACAGGAAGTGTGTTACTGGCCAGATCACCAGATGAAAACAGGGGAAAAAGCCTAAAAAAGAAAATGAATGCAGCCACCACATCTAATGATTGGTAAGCTGCAATATATACATTTTTTTGGTTTTGAGTTTAATAATGCTTTAAGCTTTTAAACATAGGGCCAAGGCTATAGTCCTTTTGGACACCTGAAAAGCAAACATTAGGACACCCATACACTGTAAGATCAATTTAGTTACTGAGAAAGATCACATATTTTTATAGTTTTTCGCTTTTCTGACCTCTTTTGAAAGGGGTTTTAACATAAATATAGAGAAATATGGAGCCTCCAATATGTTCTCAGTTTCTGACCTGGAACAATCATGCAGCCGAGAAAAACCAGAGAGCACCCAGAACTCCTGATCTGCATACTTTGTATATTCTCATTGCTGTTGTCCGACCCGTATGTTATATTTCATAACAGACTTGAATGCTCACATGCTTTCTTTCTCATTTGCAGCCTCGGTGGCAGTGATTTCAGTTAAAGCGGTTGCTGGCATGTTAGCGATGACCTTGAAGGGGGATATGCAGCTGACATACGCCATCTTCTACGTCATGGCTGTTCTAATGATTGCTTCGTGTGTCTTCCAGGTCAAGTAAGTTATGGCCTTTTTAGCTGGAAAAGTGTTCTTCTGCCTGAAAGCCCTTATTTGTGTACACGGCCAGACAGGACTTTCTTCAGTAGAATTTTAATGATTATGCTGTTTGTTTTTCCCACCACGAAGTGGAATTTTAAATGATCTGGGCTTAGTTTTATGTGTAGATTGCATAAAAGATCACTATGGAATTCAGTGCTGTAACACTTTTAGGAAAATAAAAAACTTTTAACCATACACAAAAGCGTTCTTGCTGAGTGCTATAAAATTACTGGAAAAAGCAGTCAATTAAAACTCTACTTGAAAGTAGATGTTTACTTTAAATTTAAAGTGTTTATGTAGCCAAAAATTTTTTCAGTTCAGGAAATAATAAGACATTGCTACTAAGGGAGGAAAATTCTCCTCACATTCTATAATTAGAACATGTGTCGCCATTGAAAGAATTTAGATTTTCTATTGCGTTCTTACTTAGTGACAAGTATTACCAAAACAATTAGAGTGAGCAAGCCTAATGAGAAGGGTGAAGTTACCTGGCAGGAACACTCGGAGGACTCAGAGATTCAAATCTTTCCCCACTCTATAGGAAAAATTTACAAAAAAGGTTTTGGCCATACCTACACTTTAAGATCCTCAAGTAGAAGTAAAGGATGATGGGGGAGGCCAGCATTTGCCATAATGTAAGCACTTACTTACCTCTGGATATGTTCTTCTCCAGCTGTCATGGTCAGGAGTCAAGCTTAAAGTCCAGTAGCTACTGCAGTAGAGAGGCTTCCACCAACCAGCTGGATAAGTACACAAGCATGTCACCCTGATGGCTGACGTGGGCTCGCCCAAAGTGTGGGGTCTAAGCACTAACCAGTATTCACCAGCGCTCCTGATGGTGGAGATGGGTTTTGCTGTGTGTTAGAACAAGGTCACAGTGCTCAGGATCATCCGACCAGGAGGAGAGAAAGCCAGGGCCCAATATTAGATATAGCAGGTAGGGATCAAGTAGAAGTGTAGTCATCAAACAAGCCAAATTTGATAAGTGAATACAGGCTGGGATCGAGCAAGAGTGTCGAAGAACAATCCAAGGTCGGTAATGAGTAATAGCGAAGATATGGACGGTATCAGGATAGATGATCGAAATATTAGCTGAAGATAGCACAATAATCTGGCAAACAGAAAGTGAAATGGCATGGCTTAAATAGGGAGTTCACAGGAGGAGCTAGAAGTTCAACATTCACCAGAAAAAAGGTACAAGGCAGGATTGTCTAAGGGATCAGATAGGGTGCGGTCCATGCTGTCCAGATTGTTAAGCGGCTCATCAAGAAGAACTACTGCCAGACACAGCAGAGATAGTGGGTTCAGATCCTGTTCTGACACCAGCAATGTAAGTTTCCAGCTCCCACATCCACTCTGCACCTGCTGTTGCCATGTTCTGTTGTTCTTTTTCCAGGTCCACTGTCTTTTTGCTTCACCCACTGGGCAGGCAGGTTGCGCACTGGAGTTACATTATCTTGGCACCTGGATCCATTCCTCGCATCTGTAAAGTGCAGGTAGTGTACACTGTACTGCTCATGTGCCAGTCAGTGTAAAAGATTTTTTAGGTAGAATTAGACTTCTAATGTCCATTCTACTAATGTGGCAACTGTGGAAAATGAGGTTTAATGTTGATAAATGTAAGGTTATGCACTTGGGGGTTAAGAATATGCATGCATCATACATACTAGGGGGGGTACAACTGGGGGAATCAATGGTGGAGAAGGATCTGGGGGTTCTGGTAGATCCCAAGCTTAATAATGGCATGCAATGCCAAGCTGCGGTTTCAAGAGTGAGCAAAATCCTCTCTTGTATTAAAAGAGGTATAGACTCCAGAGAGAGAGATATCATTTTACCAGGGGCGGACTGACCATTCGAGCACTCGGTACTGCCCGAGGGCCCGGGGTCAGTAGGGGGCCCCATGAGATGCCCCTGGTACCTTTCATTGGCTTTTTCATAGGCTTTTTTGGGTGTGGTCAAGGACACAGGGGCCCCATGATCCCCTATTGCCCGGGGGCCCCATGAGTTGTCAGTCCGCCCCTGCATTTTACCCCTGTACAAATCATTAGTAAGACCTCATCTGGAATATGCAGTTCTGTTTTGGGCACCAATTCACAAAAAGAACATTGGGGAACTGGAGAAAGTACAGAGAAGGGCAACCAAACTGATAAGAGGCATGGAGGAGCTCAGCTATGAGGAAAGATTAGAGGAACTGAATTTATTTTCTCTTGAGAAGAGGAGATTAAGGGGGGATATGATCAACATGTATAAGTACAGCAGTGGTTCATATAGTGAACTCGGTGTAGAGTTATTCACCCTGAGGTCATCACAGAGGACAAGGGGGACTCTTTACAGCTGGAGGAAAAGAAATGTAATCTCCAAACACAGAAAGGTTTCTTCACAGTGAGAGATGTGGAATAGACTCCCTCAAGAGTTGGTTCTGACCAGCTCAGTGGATTGCTTCAAAAAAGATCTGGATTCTGTCCTAGATACACAGAATATAACCGGATACTAACATTTATAGGTAAAGTTGATCTAGGGAATATCCGATTGCCTTTCGGGGGATCAGGAAGGAATTTGTTTCCCAGCAGGAGCAAATTGGATCATGCTTTGCTGAGTTTTTTTTGCCTTCCTCTGGATCAACTGTGGATATAGGATTATAACTTTTTTTTTTTCTATGGTTGAACTGGATGGACTTTTATCTTTTTTCAGCCAGACTAACTATGTAATAGACTCTACTCGCGGCAAATTTTTATTTTGAGGGTTTACTTCGGATTTAAATTTGTTAATAGAATATACAATTCTGCAGAAGTAAAGGAAATGTATAATTGTTCTTTATTTTGCTATATATATATATATTTCCTTTACTTCTGCAGAAATAAATATATATATATATATATATATATATATATATATATATACCGTATTTTTCACTCCATAAGACGCACTTTTTTCCCCCCAAAAAAGGGGGGGAAAATGTCAGTGCGTCTTATGGAGCGAATATAAAGCGGCCGGTCCGGTATTTTTGCGGCCACCATGTCAGAATACCGGGCCGGCCGCTCAGCTGTTGTCTCCTGCAGGGCCTTACCTGTTCCTCGCTCCAGCGCTGCACAGTCTTCCCGCGCTGGCTTCTGTGACAGCCGGGTGCCCACTGCGCATGTGCTGCGCTTTGTGAATGATCCGGTGTCTTCTGGGACACATGAAAGGTCCCAGAAGGCGCCGGGCCATTCACAAAGCGCAGCGCTTCTGCACATGCGCAGTGGGCACCCGGCGTCACAGAAGCCGGCCCGGGAAGAAGAGGGAAGGCACCTCCGCGGAAGTGGGAGCGGGTACCTGTCAAATTCAGGTACCCGCTCCCCCTCCCTCCCCAAAGGTCAGCAGTTTCTGGTCATTCCCTGCACTGTCTGCAGTCTCTGGTCATTCCCTGCACTGTCTGCAGTCTCTGGTCATTCCCTGCACTGTCTGCAGTCTCTGGTCATTCCCTGCACTGTCTGCAGTCTCTGGTCATTCCCTGCACTGTCTGCAGTCTCTGGTCATTCCCTGCACTGTCTGCAGTCTCTGGTCATTTCCTGCACTGTCTGCAGTCTCTGGTCATTTCCTGCACTGTCTGCAGTCTCTGGTCATTCCCTGCACTGTCTGCAGTCTCTGGTCATTCCCTGCACTGTCTGCAGTCTCTGGTCATCTCCTGCACTGTGTCCGCAGTCTCTGGTCATTCCCTGTACTGTCCGCAGTCTCTGGTCATCCCCTGCACTGTCGCAGTCTCTGGTCATCCCTGTACTGTGTCCGCAGTCTCTTGGTCATCTCCTGTACTGTGTCCGCAGTCTCTTGGTCATCTCCTGTACTGTGTCCGCAGTCTCTGGTCATCTCCTGTACTGTGTCCGCAGTCTCTGGTCATCTCCTGTACTGTGTCCGCAGTCTCTGGTCATCTCCTGCACTGTGTCCGCAGTCTCTGGTCATCTCCTGTACTATGTCCGCAGTCTCTGGTCATCCCTGTACTATGTCCGCAGTCTCTGGTCATCCCCTGTACTATGTCCGCAGTCTCTGGTCATCTCCTGTACTGTGTCCGCAGTCTCTGGTCATCTCCTGTACTATGTCCGCAGTCTCTGGTCATCTCCTGTACTGTGTCCGCAGTCTCTGGTCATCCCCTGTACTATGTCTGCAGTCCATTGGTTCAGAATATTTTTTTTTTCTTGTTTTTCACCTCTAAAACCTAGGTGCGTCTTATGGTCAGGTGCGTCTTATGGAGCGAAAAATACGGTATATATATTTATTATATTGAGAAATGAAAAAATTTATCATGTTTTAGATAGAAAAACTCTAGCCGAGAGATAATACTGTGTACTCCTTTTCATAGGTTTTCTAGGCTAATCCTAACTGCTTTGCTAAATAAAAAGCCTGTTATTTATAGAGCTTTGTGGCTTAAAAGGGACCCTATCACTAGACTAGCGTGTTATTTATCTGACAAACAAGACATACCTGTGCTTAAATCCCAATAGCTAGTACATGCATTTGTCTTTCAGGTTCTAAATGGATGTAACCACATACTAACACTACAAATTCTGAAGGACCCCTCTGCACACTGCTATATACCCTTCCCAGAAAACTCTGCAATAAAAAATAGGGATATTTAGTTCCCACATATTGCAGTACATGTTTAAGCTGGCCAACTGCGTCAAAGTAATCCCTCTATGGCTATCGCAACTGCTCTGCCCACTTTGTCTTTTCCCCTATGTTGGCATTGTGTCCACAGTAGCATTTGCGGTGGCAGAGCAGAGTAGCACCGGCCATAGAGGGATTACTTTGACACAGTTGGCCAGTTTAAACATGTATTGCAATATGTGGGAACTAAATATACCTATTTTTCGTTGCAAAGTTTGCTGGGAAGGGTATATAGCAGTGTGCAGAGGGGTCCTTCAGAATTTCAAATGTTATTTTTCTGTAAATCCTCCCTTGTGTAGACTTCTAAAAGCCCAGAGACTGCTACTGGGTCAGCACAGGGAGTAATTAGACACTCCCAGAAGAGGAGAGAGCTGTGACGTGCGTTCCTCTGATTCAGATGCTTGTAAAATCCCATCATTAGTCAAGTGAAAATTCCTCACCTTAAACCTCTACTGTTAGCTGCTTCACCTAGGCAAGGGTGACGCCACTCAGCCTCGCCACAGAATCCTGGGATGAGCCCTCCGGACAATGTGCACCAGCACAGTGCAGGATCCCACTAAAAGGCCGAGTGACCCTCATCTAGACAAATCAGTCAACAGCCAGGGTGTGAAGTGAATACTTTTGATTGGTGTGTTCCTACAAGCTGCTGAATGGGGGGGGGGGGGCACTGATCCTCTCTCCCTCTCTCTCATCTCATTGGGCAGTGTATAGTTCTATATAGAGTTTCAATTAGAGAGAGCTCATATGAAAGCAATTATCTACTGTTTTGCTTCTTTAGATTTAAAGTGATTTTTTTTTCTGTACAGAGAGATTTTTTTGGTATATAGGTTTTGTAAAGCATTAAGTTTTTTTTTTTTTTTTTACCTTTAATGCATTGTATTCATTAAGGTAAAAAAAGCTTTTGTGCCTGGGATTTCTCCCCCCTCCTTATAATTGCCTGAGCCCCATCAGCTGTGTAAGAGAGCAGTGGCTCTCCTGGCTCTGTCCCTCCTCACAGGGCAGATCAATAGGAGCACACTGCTGTCATTCAAACCTTATTACGAGGGAGCAGGAGCCACTGCTGTCAATCAAACCTTATTATGAGGGAGCAGGAGCCACTGCTGTCAATCAAACCTTATTATGAGGGAGTAGGACCATGTCCAGCTGTCTGTGTCTATGGACACAGGCAGCAGGGCTTGGGGACAAGCCCGCACGAGTGCTCCCATAGGAAGCAACTTCCTGTGAGTGCACAGGATGAAGAGGAGGAGACAGAAGCACTGGTGGGGGACCCTAGAAGAGGAGGATCAAGACTGCTCTGTGCAAAACCACTGCACAGAGCGCATAAATATAGCATGTTTATTATTTTATTTATTTTAAAAAACAAAAAGCTTTAAAATAGTGCAAGCAGTATGAGTAGGTGAATTAAAAGATCAGTTTGCCTTTAAAAAAAAAAAAATACATGCACATCTTTTTGCAGGTAAAAAAAAGTGCATTTATTATTTTTTTCACTAGGAGCCTAGAAAGCATTGCACCCGTGATCTGCTATGCAGGATCCCACGGACTTGTCAGTGTATCTGTCTGCTGGTACCTCTTACAGGCAAGCAGATACACACTAAGGCAGAATCAATGAACTACCCTAGAGCACTCAACAGCACAGTGGTAGTTCATTGAGTACTGCAAGCTGACAATCACAAAGGCTGTCAGTACTAATTTTCCATTCGCAAAATTCTGTGAATTAATGACGCGGCCAGGATGGCAGAACCCCACACGGCCGCATTTTTAAAAAACAATAGTGACAGCTAGCGGGGAGAGAAGATTCCCTGCTAGCGATCACTAGATGCAGCAGAGCGGGGAGACACTGCAGGAGTGGGAATGTTACATTTTCCACCCTAAAACCGGGTGGAACATGTAACATGTCCCAAAGGTGAACCTATCCTTTAGGGTAGGTTCACACTATAGAAATGCAATCCAGATGTGTTCCGGATGTGTTTCCACATCTGCAGTTTTGACACATTTTTTACACATTCCAGTGCATTTTTTATGCTTTTTTGACACATTCCACTGCATTTTTATGCATTCCAATTAATTTTTGTCCCCTCTCTTTTTCTTCAATGTAAACAGGGACATGTGCGTTCCAGTGTGTTTTGATGCATTTTGGTGTGTTCCAGTGTGTTTTTGATGCGTTTTTACTGCATTCCAGTACAGTTCTGTGCAGAAAAATTGCAGCATGTTCTATTTTTTTTTTTTCTACAACCGAAACGCACTGGAACTGCATGAACTATGACATTGACAACCATATAACCTACTTTCTGTGTGTTTTGGATGTAGAATAAAAGCAGCTGAAACGTATGTAGTGTGAACTGGCCTTTAAACTTGGTTTTAGCTCCTTGCAGCCCCTCTGGTGCAGTGCTGATAGGAGGAGAGTGCAGAGTGGCAGTCCAGTCACAGATTGGGGCTGTGGAGGAGTCCTGTAAGTATTGCGTAAACAGGCAAAATTCAGGTCTCCTTCCTGCCAGGCAGGACTGTGTGGTGTGGCAGAGCTGTGTGAATCTCAGGACTGGGTGGATAGGAACATATAACATTCGATATGTAAACACCCTCCCTTATATGTATTTATCTGTCTACCTAGCTATTAGCCTGGGGTTCAGCTGCAAGGGCATCTTTTAGTGTACTCTGTCTTAAATTCTGATTTATGAGATTTCATTTCCAATATAGATTGTACTGTAGAAAGACATAATTTCAAACCAATATTCTGTAACCGTAAATGAGATTTCTGCACGCTGACTATGTTTATACTTGTTTCCTGAGTTTGTATTTCAAATGTAAAGGAAGTTTTCATAGCTCACAATAAACAGAGAACATAAAATTTTAATTGTGATCATTTTTCACAATCCTGCAAGCACATTTTACATGGATTAATTTAAAATTGCATCTGCGCTTTTTTTTTTTTTTTTTTTTCCTCCTGCGTTTGTTCTTATTTATTTAGACTTCCTGAGTACATTACAGAGTAATTTTAAGTCCCACTGAGCGCTCTTCTGTATAAATATTTATGAAACTGCTAAATCTTACAGTGTCTTCTACTATTAAACTGTCAGCAGCATTGTTTTCACTTGTTGTTGTTGTCTCATTTCTTTATTTATTTACTTATTTGTGTATTTGTTAGGTTCTTAAATCAAGCAATGCAGCTTTACAATGCAACAGAGGTGGTGCCAATTAACTATGTGTTCTTCACAACCAGCGCTATACTCGCAGGTATGGAGCGTTCAGCTAATATTGAAAATGTAAAAAAAAATATAAATTAGGGGTTTATTTACACAGGTTCTCTGGTCCATGAATGAGCAGTTTGTGCAGCTGATGCCGCCTGTTAGTTGGCATACAGCAGTTGTACAAACACAGCCACGTGTCCTAATTTGACAGGTGTGCTGGTGAGGGTGAGTGGCCCTGAATGCACACTGTTTGGGGCCGTACACCTGCACTCACATGAACTACCAGGGTTGCAAAGGTGGCACCTTCCACCGGGCCCTGGCATTCTACTACCATGAGGGGCCCAAGACGGTAGGAAAGGAGCCTGCTGCAGAACGTGCAAAAGGATCCCGCTGATTGACCATAATAACGGGCCCCGTGATTGGTTTAGAGGGTCCCGGGTCCAGAGAAAAGGGGCCCTTTATGGTTTATTGCACCGGGGCCCTGAAGGTTCTAGTTATGCCCCCTTCCAGAACAAAAATATTGCATTGTAAGGTGATAAAACAAGTGATAATGTGCATGTACTGAGGAGATGTATTAAATATGTAAGTACAGAAAAATACATGTTGGTCCTACCAGAAATCCAGTAAACTGCAAGTTTCTGTGCTGTCAGCTCCGCTGTACTAAAATACTTATTAGCCTTGCTTGACTGCTCTGTTGCTGGACTACATGTCACCAATATGTTATGATAATGAGGTTCTTTCAGTCCATCATAGGAGAAATGGGCAGAGATGACATGCTTTGGATTTCAGTGCAGGATAGGCACTGTGTTGTCCGCTTAAAACAGGATGTTTTGAGCACACTGGATTTCTAGGTGATTTTTCTGTACTTGCAGCATTTTAAAGGGATAAAACATGGGGAAATGTTTACTTGCCCAGACATACACTTTAAATCACTAATGTTGTTACTATCTATGATTAAAAAAACATATCTACCCATGGTTGGCTACACAGGAGCAATACTAGTAATAATCAGAAATTTAAAGAAAAATATTTAGCATGAATTTCAAATTATTTTAATGCATGCATTTATTTCTGTCATCGCAGGTGTTATATTTTATCAGGAA